AAAAAAAAAAAAAAAAGGAGAAAATGTATTAATGCCGGAGTTGTTTAAAGCTGTATGGTCCATGAGCTTAAAGTATGCGCTGCAGCACACTAACTCACTAAGTAAGGCTGGATATTGAACCTCAATATCAAAACATTTTTAATTGCTACCCAACCCTTCCAGTACATTTTCAGAAGCTATTAAGGATGCAGAATAAATACAAACATTCAGTATGGACACCTTTAGGGCTGTTAAGCGACACGAGTGGACACATTTCAGTGTTGACTCATTTAAAGCCTCATATCATTTCAGTGTGGGTTTTATTAATGTTGTGCAAGCTGGGTCTACTCTGTGCAAGACTTCTGGTATTATTTCTCCTTTGCTGAACCTTAAAAACGACTGAAAAGTCGAATATATCCCACATATTTTTGGCTTTTCAAACTACACACTCCCAGTACTACATCCCTGGCACCAAGGCCCTTTTTGGATACACTTCACACATTTTTGAGATTGGTTTTACCCAGCACCTGAGATCAAGCTATTTTCTACTAAGTAGATCACATGTGGTGGACTTACCCTCTGGAGGTTCAGACATGGGTGGGTTGAGACAATACATATGATAGCCTCTATCACAGTCGTCACAGAACAGAAGCTGATCCTGGAAGAAATGGGACAACAAGAGCACACATCAGTCTTCAGTACTCTACAATACATACAATATGTAAATGCAGGTAAACTCACGTCATTCTCTGAGGTGCCACACATGTTGCAGCACTTGCACTCTATGCACTGCCAGCGGTACGTCTTCACAGCGGCCATCATCACAGGAGTGAACTGCAGGCAGGAGGGGTGGCCTGAGAGTAGAATAATGTTTATCACAAAGATTCCTGCTCTTAACAAAATTAACTATTTTTCAACTTGCTGCTCTATTCAAGCAGAAAACTGTTTCTAACGCACCTGAGCGTCCACAGTCGGAGCAGGACACCAGCTCTTCTGACTGGCCAGTCTTGTGATTGGTTTTGGAGTCTCCCAGGCAGAAATCACAGTAATTATTAGGCAACGCGAGGCCGTCTGGACCTTTCTTGGGAGCTGAGAAACAAGATGAAAGCACCCAGAGAGCATCAGTGTTCAGTCTCTAGTACAGTTGAGCTCTACGTTGAACCAATCTGACGACAGTGACTGATCTCTTACTTTTAGGCTCGTCGGGCACTGGCAGGGCCGGCTCGTTGATCTCCAGCTCTTCCTTCTCCTCCCCCTCCTCCTCAGCCAGGTGGGAGTGGGCATAGTGGTAGCTCAGGCCGGGACGGTTCTTGTAGCGCTTCCCACAGACTGCCACCAAAACCAGAAAACATAACGTGTATGAAAACAAAGAATACATTAGTGAAGTCAAGGTTATGCAAAGTCAGTGATGAAAGGTTGACTAGTTATTTTTGCTGTCTGGTACAGCTGAGTGTACTCACTTTATTACGTTACATTATTGTATCATACTCTCCACATTGTTGTATTTAGTGGCTCAATTCTGTGCTGATACAAGGACTTTGGGGTTTATTTTCAGAGAATTTAGTGAATGTAACAGTAGCAACCAAAGCCCTACAGTTTCCTACTTTAGATATAATGTTATATACTGTACATGTACAGGCTCAAGGATGTCCATAACTGTTAAATAAAATTCAGTGATTTAGCTACACAACCCATACAGGCAAACATAATCAGACTGTAGATGTGTTCAATGTCTATTCTATAGCCTTAAAAAGGGAACTCCACTACTAGCGTAACACAGTCCAACTAAGTAGGTTTCAATGTCAACCCTGACCCCGAAAATATAGCAGAAATGTAATGCTCCGTTGGTGGAGAGCTCTTTTAAAAGACATGTAGTGATAGAATTTAACACACGGCTTTGAAGTGGTGAGGTAATGATACGTTTGGGACCGACCAAAGCGCTTCTGTGATATCCTCCTTTTTTGCTTAATATCTGGATCACCACAATGACACATGATGGCAATGAAATTAGAGGGAAAGGTAAAGAATGGTGATGAGCTTTGGGAGTATGAAGAACATGAGCTGGAGCTCTGTGGTAGCCATGTATTTTAGCTCAGTATTGAGACATCTCAGCCACCGTGAGCACCGCACATCTGCAGTCAGTAAATGAGACAAAGGAGTAACTGCTCAGGTGTGCCACCTTTACAATAGTTTTTACTTCTTTAATTTAAGACGTGCACTACCTAAGCAGTGTTTAACTAATGACTATGTTACACTGGAATAAAAGTCATGGTTTTGTTTTACTTGACTTCATACATCCATCTTTCTAAAAAATATATGTTTGAGTGTATATGATCTCTGTAGATCTGCAGTCAAATTATTCTAACAGCGGCTCCATACTGCTCTGAATATTGATGTTTCGGATCTGAATTTATAATCCATTAATCACTGTGGTGAGAGATGCCAGCGGATTGTGTAAGGAGGATGTACTGGCTTTAGGGAGGACAAAGATGCCACTGTGTACTGCCACTGTCACAGGGGGTGTGTGAGGTTTGTCATAAGATAACATGCAAACACCAAGTACTTCTTCTTTCACTTCCATACTTTCTCTCATTTTCACTTCCTCAAAGGCCAACCTATTTCTTTAACTGTCATCTAAAAAGGAGTGAGTCCTCCCTGGGACACGTTTCTTCTAGTCACATGCCAAGTGATAGTGTGCAGTGGAAAAACATCCCCTCAAAAAGGTTGAACAGACATCAAACTGACTCAAAGCCAAAGCAGCAGTTCACTCTAATACATGGAACGTGGAATGAGACTTTACAGGGTGCAGAGGTGGTGAAGAGGAATAAAGAAAAAGGCAAGGGAAAAACTATAATGCAGTCAAATTGTACACATGAAGTTGTGAGACAAAAGACAAAAAGCACAGAGAGAAAAAAACAGCAGCAGGCTCCAGCTTCTAGCTTATCTAAATCTGGGGGAAGTTCAGGGCCAGATTGAGGGGAAAAAATTACTTTCATGGGCCACAGCTTATCTTTTGTAAGCTGAGACGGCTCATATCTTTGGCTGATTACAGACTACAGTTTAATTGGGGTGTACAATAACATGGTTTTGACCTTTTCTAAATCGAGTTAATCACATTTAAGTAAACTGTGCAGAACAGAACAAAACCTTTACCCTATGAACTGAACTACACAAAGAGCAAATCTACTTGGTAACGCAGACAGAAAAAAAACAAGACAAAACACAAGCAGTGAAGACAAAAGACAAGGCAGACTGGAGTAAAAAAGGAATGAGAGAAATATACCTCTTTCAGAAGGTTTTGAAATATGCTTTTGTTTGATAGTGTCTGAAAAGAGAGAAGAGAAGGAGAAGAGAGAGCACAGACAGAGACTCAGAGAAATAGGCTCATAGACCGACAGAGGATCAGTCAGTCAGTGCCGCCCTACTGAGAACTGCAGCTGAAAGTGAAAATGCTTCACAAAAGAGGAAAAAAACACATCAAGCAGTACAGATACATAGTCTGACAATACCAAAGAAGTGGAAGAAACATTTCCACCTCTAAGGGTGGAAAGATTTAAAGTTAAAGAAATGTAATGATATCACAATGGCAAACAAAAACAAAAAAAAAACAGAGCTGAGCCTAAGCTAGCCTTACAAATATCAGGTTCAGGAAGTCTAACAAAGAGCAAGAAAGATGATGGTATACATTAAGAGAAAGGGGAGAGGATGAAAAGGAAGGCGATAAAGAATAGCGGTGTAACGGTACGTGGATTTATCCCAGGACGTTCAGTTTGGTACGCGACTGCCTTGTCACACCCTGTGACCTTAACAATTACTGTCAAAATAGCCTGTTTACGTCTACTACTCGCACACGGGGAACATATATTCTAGTGCTCCAGTTTTACCTGGAAAGTTTTGGAAGTTGTTGTCTGTCAGCTGTAGCGCGCTACTTGGCTTTTGTTGGGTTAGTCAAGCTCAATGGGCAGCGATCAGTGTCAACATTGTTCAAATGAAGTCGGGTATGACCGTGGAAACACTTTTACAACAGCATCACCCGAATGTGTCCATCAGTGGAATGAGACAAAAACAGACTGGCAGCCTCTCACTGCAGATGTGCACCGAGCCAAAGCAGTAACTAACACTATACAGTGTTTATCGCTGCGGATATGCAACCATACTTAAAGGTCCAGTGTGTAACACTTAAGAGGCTTTACTGGTAGAAATGGAATATAATATGCATAGGTATTTTTCAATAGTGTACAATCAACTTAATATAGGAATCGTCATGTTTTTGTTACCTTAGAATGAGCCTTTTATATCTATAGAGTATCTATAGATATAAAGATATACAGGTCGTCTTCTGTGGTGACAACCATGTTGAACAACCATGTTTCTACAGTAGCCCAGAACAGACAAACCAAACACCGGCTCTAGATTCCGTTTACGATTTTCTCGGCCACTGTAGTTTGTCCTTCACGATTAGAAAGGCAGGGTGAAGCAACATTACAATCTGAAAATACAATGCTGGAGGAGACTCAATCCAATACACTGGACCAAACATATGGTGCCCTATATAAAGGAGTGCAATCTGCAGCTGTTGAGGAATTGTTAATAAGTCAGACTGTTAGGATGAAGCAATACTGACATTTATCAATTTGTAATGGTATTACTGACAATAGGTCAGTATTTGAGTGCATTAACTGTTACAGTAAGAACTGATGAGAACTAATGAACTACTGTTAAATAAAATGATTTTTTTTAATTTTGTGTACCGTTACACCGCTAAGAGTGAGGACTTTGGCAAAGTCTTGCTTGATTAGATTACAAACATTGCAGCTATTAACATCTGCAGTGACCCTCTGCTCGGACCCGAGCTCAAATCCTCTACTCTCCCCCTTCAGGACTCACTGTCACAGGCGTACGGCTTGTCTCTGTCCTCCAGTGCTGCTGTATCCAACTTCTTACGGGTACTGCCCACTCCTCGACCCTGAGGACAGAGACATTATTAGAGTCAACAGACAAGATGGGACACACACACACACACACACACACAGAGTTGGGGGGGGAAAGTGTAATCATCGTGTACACATGTAGGTATTTACCTTTCCCTTCCCTTTGCCTCTTCTTTTAGGTGTGTCTTCCTCATAGTCTTCATCATCCAGGTCGTCCAGGAAGTCATCTGGCTCAAGGACTCTCTATGTTGAGGCAATGACACAATGAGATAATGAGGCTAATGATTCAAAAAGTCATATCATTTTCTTGACTCTTTATGCTGAAAACAAGAACCTTTCTAATCCGAGCAGCAGGGTTGAGGCCTCCGGTGTAATCACTCTGGTTTGAATCCTCCTCAGACCCTCGGAGCTCTGTGGTTGTCCGTTTTTCCAAGGAGTCGCCCTTGAGCAGGGCCTCCAGGCTGCTGCCATCCGCTGATAACAGAGCATCCTTCTTCAGTCCAATATCTACCTCTATGAATACAACAGAAATAAGAGAAAAACACCTCTCAGTAACAAATAATTATTATTATTATTATTAAGACAATAAGATATAAGACAGCATTTTATAACGTTTTTCATGGAAAAACAGAGGATGAGCTGAATGCTGTGGTACCTGACTTGACAGGAGGGAAGATAAGCCGGGGGTCCTCCGGAGGATGAGAGCGCCGTTTCTTCCTCCACCTCCTGGATGGGTAGGTGTAGAGCTGCCCTGGAGCCATGCCTGAGGGGCATCAGAACAGATCCATTTACACAACACTGATCAGCTTTTTGACAAACGGACGGGGGGAAAAAAATCTGTACTTCAATTCCCTAGAAATAGCATTTGTCTTGTTAGCATAATTAGCATTCTAATTTAATTACATTAAATTACACTTTGTTATTGGAAAAAGAGTTTGTTGTGTATAGGAAGTTTTCACTCTAAAGACAAGTAAAACAATTTAGTCCACTTTCACAAGAACTGCGGGGAATATTTTAACAAATGCAACATGCAGACTACAAATAAAATCATGTAGGGAGGCTTACGGTGCATTTTGTGGCACACTACATGTTTTTGCGTCTCACCTGGTCCCCTGTGTCTCTTTTCCATCCAAATGTAGCAGTTGCTCTGAGCAACACCGGTCTGGGAGTCAAGGAACGGCATTCGGACGCTCCTCTCAGCACAGAGTCTGGCATTGTAGTTGTGACATTGCTCCATGGCATCTCTGTAGTACTGCTCTCCCAACCTGAAACAACAACAACCAAAGCCACACAGATGCTGCTTATTCTGCCTATTGTGATTAAAAACACAGAAATCAGCAGGTGCGGCCATTTCAAAACCAGTCCCATCTTACTTCAAACTTTCAAACATCTGTCAGTGTAGTTTAAAGCCTGCTTCCTTTCTCCGTTGTGCTGCCACCTTGGGAAAAAAAACAGCTCACTCACTAGACAATGTCTTTGTACTTAAGGCTACATCATTAGTGAGAGTGCAACAGCAGGTGCTCTTTTGTTGGTACATCAACAACAAAGAGCTTGGTAGGCAGCGCAGTCACAAGTGTGCAGTGTTTTTAACATAAATAAACTCAAACAGGGCTGCGCGCTTAATCCCTTTTAGGAAAGCTAAGGGCTGCATCTCCTCAGACAAACAGGCTCATGACATGAACCTCATCGGTTTTTCAAGTCCTTGAGTGGCAAGGAAAAGAGGGAATAAAGACAAATAGTCATCCTGGAGTTGCAATTATTGAGGTTGTCAGGGAGCAAGAACAATAACACTAGTTGTAGAGCCGCCTTGATGAGAGAACTGCAAGTATACTAACGTTATGTAGTTGTATAAAGGATTAAAGCACTAAACTTTAATGACAAATCTCATTATTTCATTAGCTACTTGTAAAGACGTAATAATTCTGCCTAGTACTGTAAATATGTCTGTGTTGCTATACTATTTGATCAGGACTAAACCAGAAATTCAATATTTTCACGGAAAATATATACAAGAGTGACTGTTTCTATTTAATACATCTATTAGAATTTAAATATTGCCATGTATGTGAATATTTCTCATTTTAAAGCCATAAATATTATTTTCTACATTATTTTTAGTAGTTTTTTTTTTACTGAGACTAAAGTTTAAAACTTCTTAGACAGCATCTAATTAAAAAAACAACAAAAACAACAACAACAACATACAAATAAGCTTTGAAGAAGTTCAAAATATAGTTTAGAAGAAACTTATTTTTGTGGCAAAGTATCCTAAGTCTAATGTTTTCATACGTTACCATGGTTACTAAGAACTTACCCCATCGCTAATTACCGCAAAAACGTCAACCACCGCGAGGAACCGACGCGAAGTAGAGAAAGACAACGGAAATGGAAACACGTTTTCAGCACAACCAGGTTATATTACGGGTCGCTGGAAAACTTCACAGCCCCAAAGAGTTACTCATATGGCAGCGAGAGAGCTGCGGTAGATTGCAAGCCCACATGAAGGGAGCTGTTCCGAGGCCAGTCTTTCATTCATTCTCCAGTACTCGGCCAGTCACCGCGGCTCCGAGCCACCGTCCCTCTCTGTAGCCTGTTAGCGGGCGAGCCACCTAGCTGCCACACTTTTACCGACGTTAGCACCGCGGCGGCTCCTCGGTTACAAAAGACACAACAAGTAACCAGAATATCTCTCTATTAGTACGTTTATGCTCCAATTGACGCACGGGCTATTAAAACAGACCCGTGATTTGTGTTTCAGAAGCGTCATCTGCGTGTCCGCTAACTTACACTTCCATTTCCAGGATGTGAACAACACACACACGACGGTCCGACAACGTTGGCTAACCTCACCAAGTCACTGGAAATGTCGCTAAGCTCGCCCGCGACGCCGTCGGTGGCTGTGTGAGCGCGATGTGACCGCGCTGTGTGTCGTCTGTGTGTCGTCTGTCCAGGTGTAAGGTGTGAATAAAAGTCCCAACACTTACAGTTTGACAACATTCTCAACAACAGCTGCCATCTTGGTTTAATACACGGGGAAAGTGGCGGTGGGTAATGTGTGCCCTCCGTCTGGACTTGTAGGCAGATGGAGCAGGAAACCTGACGCCTAGCGCCCCCTAGTGGTGGCTGTGTGGCGTTGCCAGATGTGTTCTCACGGTGATTTCCCCAAAAAATGTCATTATCAGTGGCTCATAAATGTATCCCGTAACATTATATCCTTAATCATCAGTAAAAGTGCACCTTATTTACACTAAATGCTGCTCACGAGGCGGTACAGTACCAAAAAGAAAAGAGAAGCGACTTTAGACCGACCTTCTTCACAGCAGCCATTTTGACATGAAATAGTAGGGTAAACACAGGTGTTAATGATACTATTCAAGGTCTGTTTCATTCAGGTCAAACACAGTCAGGGTGCTGCTGTAGTGCATGTTGGCTCACTGTCTGCTACACCTGTGTTTACCCTACTATTTCATGTCAAAATTGCTGCTGTGAAGAAGGTCCAATTTTAACATTTGGACCTACTGGTTCTGACCTCCAAGTTTCACAAATTTAGTTCTTTGTTATTCACACCTAAATACTTTTTATTTGTTCAACTTTTCTTGTCTCGTTGTCACTAAGTGCAAGGAAACCATTAATTAAACTGCATCAAACATGTGGAGATGTTTCCTCCCACACGGCTTTCTCTTTATAAACTTTTAGACTGTGTTATCTTCTTATTGTGCCATCTATAGCTGGCTCATTATTTTCCCTGTTCTTTGACCATCACCCACATCCTCTTCCATTTTTTCAACCACCAATAGCAGAGATTATTACTGCTGTGATGAAACAAAGGCTCTGGTTTCTCTCTGAAGGTTTGCGCTGCTCTTCAGATGATGACATCCTTCCCAGCAGCCCCTGATTCATCATAAACTTACTGTATGTTAGTCATTACTCGCTCATCCTTGACCTCATTTGCTGCAGTTGCATCATTAATTTATTCTCAGTGACAGCACTGCAGCAGCGATCTTTCTCACATACTGCAAGAACATTTCTCATGTAGCCTACTGTAGTAATACGTGAACACACACATTGAGCTCATATCCAGAAGATTTGTTTTTTTATTCTCAAATTTACAAACCCATTCTGCTCTCTTGTAGCTGACATTTTAAAAAATAGTTTTATAAATTCACTTGCAACAACAGGTGTACTGATGGGTAACAAATTAAAGTAAAAGCTGACATAAATTATCAATATTGAGATATTAGGACACCACTTCATTCTTTCAAAATATATTTCCTCACCCTGTGAATTAATGATTTCAACAGGGGGAGAACTGGGCCTGCTCAGCATTTGTATGCCTGTAACAGAGCTAAATGGGATGTTCATTGCTTAATTGTACTGAAGAATCTACATTCATACTCAAATTTTCCTTTATTGTCATCTTTCTGTGTAGTGTGTCCACTGAACTGCTGTGTTGTGTCAATAATCACAGTATAGAGAATCAAATGGGTCACTGGTAAAGATGCTATTGAGTTGCATTATGGAAAATGTAGGATGTAGTATTTTTGGATCTTAACTTACACTTAGGACAAAATAAATAAATAAATCAGGATCTCTCTGACCATAGTTATTTTAAGCTGGCTTTTGTGAGTCCCTAACTCTGGAAAATCCTAACAAACTTTTCTATGAAAACTCAATCTAATGTTTCTGACTTGATTTAGTTGAGGTATACTGTGATGTGTAATTGAACAGTTTGAGTGTCAGATTAAATAATAATTCAAATATCCAACTTGGAGCACGTTTACATTGTTTGTTTATCATAAAAAACCCTGCAACAATATCACGTTTTTGATTAAACCATGTTTTATTATTCCTAATATTAGATGTAGATACACAAGTCAACAAACATTATTTTTGATTTGTAATGAAAATGCTCCACAGCACACTGACATCGTGTGGAAGGGTCTGGTATTACAGACAAGTACCTGAAAATGGACAGCAGTTATAATTTTTGCAATAAGTTGCATTAGTAACAGTAGTAGTAATAGTAACAACAGTAGCAATAATGTAATAATAGCAATTAATAATAGTAGTGGTATTAACAACTCTGAATTACAGAGGAAGGAACAGACATTCGTCAAAAGTAATGAGAAATGAAGGTAGGTGGACAGGCTTATCAAATGCTGCAAGACAGACCACTGGATGAAAAAATACAAGCTCCCACTAGACAGCAAATATCCTGCCTTCTTCTAAAAAAGGAAGCTCAAATTGTCACCAGTCTGTTTTCACTCATATCTAATACTTAACAAGTAAAAGTTGTTGTTTTTTTCTTCATTAAGTACTCTTTTTTTTTTCTTCTAAGTACTCTTCTAACCAAAGAACCCATCTCTTTGACATCAATAATACATACTTTCCATGTTCTGGTCAAAGCTCACCGGTAGCACAATGTTATTTTGAAAAGATGCCATATGCAACATCGAATCACAGCCAGCTGAGGACCATTCCCACAAGACTGGATTGCCAGGGTCATTCTGCATTAAATATACAGTACAGTATTAATGTGTATGAGTGTGTGTGTGTGTGTGTGTGAGTGAAAGAGAGAGAGAGAGAGCGCTCATGTACAATATGTCAAGTATGAGAAAAATTTTTGCTTCACATGACCAATTTGGCCAAACTAATTTGAATCATTCACATTCAAACGAGCTGATAAGAAAATACACTGTGTGACCTTTAAACTTGAACTCCCTATCATCAACTGGATGCTGTGTCTGATGTACAGAGCAGAGAAAAGGTAGCCATTGTCACTAAAAACAGCTCATCCACCGGGGAAAGAATGACTCCTCCATTCGAAATTGTGCACAATGTACAATAACTGCGTTGGCTCACTTATGTATGCAATGATGTTATTACCTTCCTAGATCGTAGCTTTGTATAAGGCTACGTAAACTAGGCGCTCTGTCACACACCCGGGATACGAAGTCCCACTGACAGAGACAAGGCAGTCAGTTTGATCAAGCTTGCACCAGATGCTGTCAACTGGACCCAGTTCAATAGTCTCAAAGGGTGTTTTGAGATATTTCTCTTCTCTGACTTGGAGGGTCTTTGATTTGCGTGATAAACCACCGGTAACACATTCATTTGAGATAGGAAAATAAGGCCAACCTGTTTAAACTAACATCCAAATACAAATTCACTTCCAGCTGTTTTTGTTATCACAACAGTTTGGTGCGACATTCTTGTGGACTAATCAGCCTTCCCAGGCATGGTATACACATCCAGGCAATTACCAGCTTTAAAAGACTCCCTTTGATTGATTACTTGCAACCTACTTGTAAGAAAATCAATAAAACTCTTAAATTCAGAATTGTTATCCAGTAACTTCCTGTTGAATTTTGGCAGTTAGAAAAGGCAAATCAACACTTAAGTGACTATAATAACAGTTAACGACCTATCCAATGGTCTCGAGATATTAAAGTTGCACTACTGCCTACAGTCTCACAATATATTATAAATTCCCTTTTCATTTAATCTGAGGAAACTAATAAATCTCTATCAGTTTTCTTTATATTAACTATACTGGATTAGCTTGTTTTACATTATTGTAAATGCCAATTACAGATCATTTATTTAACCCTGAACATGAAGTGATTTCATGTTTTCAGAGTACATCAACACAGTAGAGAGTAGATGGCAATGATGAGACACATACAAGTATAAACCTACATGAAGTTATAACAAATATGCGAGAGCACAACACTCATCTAAGAGACAATTTAGGACTTTTCCCTCTCTGCCACCGCTAGTGAGCAAAGCTTTCCAATGGTTACTGTTCATTTATAATCCACTGACATACATTAGATCATTGCCACAGGGCACATTTTTAACACGTATCTTCGTACTAAGAAAGCTTCCTTTAAGACTGTTCGAATGGAGGGTGGGTTTGTAAAAAGGGGTTCAGTGTATCTGTAGTCGGTTCAAGTAAGGCTCAGTACACCTCTCTCTGTCAGGTAAAACGCATTCTTCACTGCCTATCCAATCTCACTTCCACACCCCTCACTTCACCTGTAATGAGACCTGTCAGCTGTCCATCTGTCCTGCTTGCGTCCCTGCGGTCTGCCACAGAAAATGTGCTTCAGCTTTTTATCTACAAACTGCCCCCATGCCTTCACACCAGTAGAGAGAACGGAAATAGATATTAGAAGACTAAAACAGGAATAACCACCTTGAGGAACTTCATTGGTAATGTCAGCTTACGTGTAATAAAAATCAAAGCAAAGAAAAGCTAATTTTATTAAATCATTCCAGTTAAGATTATTTTGTGTTTGTGTCTGGTTTTCGTCTACCTTTGCGGACTGAAAAGCAGCATTCATCTGGCCACGTTTGATCAGGAATAACATAAACGTGCAAAATCCACAGCACCACAACGCACGCACACACGCACGCACACACGCACACACTAGAAAACTAATCTTCTCTGCTTTGTACAGAAAAAAAAGAAAGTCGAAAATTAAGCAGAAAAGATCACTCAAAAGGAATAATCAAATACAGGCAAAATTAGAGATAAAATAAAAAATAAAACCACTTATTAAATATATATATATATCATTTTCCCAATGAAACTTGTGATCACTTACTGCACACTGCTAAAATTTAATGAGCTTTATTTTTTTCTCAAAACACCTCATCATGTCATTCCTAAAAAATAAAACAAAAAAAACAATACATACAAAGGGCAAGCCCAACATTCTCCACTATTCTGCACTAGTTTAACCAAATTTGTTTCTCTCCACAACATGAATCAAGATTATCTACTGTCAAATTAATTAGTTTGTTTTATCAAACCAGCAATAGCAAAAGATAAATAATAATAATAACAGCAATAATATCGGTCAGGTTAATAACATCAATACCAAGAACAGAAAAAGAGACTGATGTGATCCTTCCCAAAGAAGAGAGCGCTTGAAGGTGGGGAAATAAAACCAGAGTGCACCACAGCGGAAAGCCTCCATCCATCGTTTTGTTAGTGGCGCAGCATCAAAACGGCTCAGCAAGGAAAGACTCACCGAAGAGAAAATATTCATGCTGAAGGAGAGCCGTTTTGGTGGACTGGACCTGAACGAGGCCTGGATCCCTGCTAATGCCAACCACACCTGCTACTGACTCAGACAAGTAAGCTCTGCTGGTTGGCTAAAATTACCTGAAATTGGATGAGGGCTTTCTTTGTTGTGTGCAGCCAAATGCGAAATATGGACTGGGTGAACCAAAAAGTCAGTGACAGATAAAAGCGAGGGAGAGAATCAGAGAGAAAGAAAAGAAAACAAAGTTCTCTGTAAGCTACGTACAGTAGCTGTCGACAAATTCCTTGGGGCTTGCACTGAGAGCAGTGTGTTTGTGTGACCTGTTTGTACTTTCCTTTCTGCCTGCTTCAGTTTATTGAAATTTTGACAAATGTAGCTTCCATCGATGATTTTACAAGTGTTCTATTTTTTCTTGCCAAAGAAGCTGAACCTCTTCTCACGATCCTTCTCTTTCCCATCCTTGTTGCGCATGGTAACACCTCCGGCATCACCTGAGCTGGGGGAGATGGGAGGCATCGTCATGGCACGGCTGAGCGCCCGCGGACCTCCGGGCGAGTCTCCTGATCCTGTTGGAATGGAGCTGATGATGGAACGAATCCAGGAGCTCATTTCCGCCTTTAGAGAGTCAAAAACCTTTATTATACTTTACCATTCAGGGAGAGTCACAGCACACCAACAAGAAGTCTTTACACAAACATAAATTTGTATTTAGTTATTTATTTAAGTGGAATAATTCTATACATCTCACCTCATCCTTTGCTTGGAACAGGTACTCTTTTCCATCCCCTAGCCTGCAGACAGTATTGAAGAGGTAAACCATTAGTCAGAGATAAGCTATAAAGTCTTATACATCTCAACATTTTGCCATTATCTTGATATTTCATCACAGCCTTTCTTTATAAAAAAAAAAAAAAACAGGGTGAAAACTGTTCTGTATCAGGAATATTCTTTCTGAGGGTTTTTGTTGCCAAGGCTGTTCTCACCTGAGCTTGAATACAAATTTCCTCTTCTTGTAGTCATTGGCTACCTCGCACACAGCCTCTCCAAGGCTGATTGGTACCTCTCCGTGGTATGGAATGCCGTTGCTAGCGCTCTTGCCATCTTTATAGAAACCGAGACTTCCTTTTCTTAAGACACAGTATACGTTCTGCCATGACCTATGAGAGCAAAGTCATGGGATTAGGAGTAAATCTTTAAAAAGATAAAGTAATGAAGAGACATGAGTCTGGTGTTAGAGTTATTCTCTCGCCCTGACAGGCAGATAAGACAAGTTAGGATAGACTGAGACACAACCAACTTAGTTTTCCAACAATTAAAGCTAGTGTAGGTGAGGTTGGAGAAACTGGTGAGAGACAGCACGATTTTGAAAGTATTCAATCAAAAGAAAACCATCAAGATGGATTTTTTTTTTGTCTGGTCGTTATCTGACATTCTTGTGTGACTAGTTCGGCAGCTTTAGCATTATCTGCCTGCTGGCCGTCTTGTGGGAAACTCCGGTCACACACAAAGAGTGCGCAGAGGTAAACAGGTGGGTAGACAGGCAGGTCGGCCATCATTTCATTCACACTGAATAAAGCAACTGGTTGGCCAATTAGCTGAGCTTATTACAGGCCTGTGACTGCTACAGACACCATATTTTTGTCTTTTTTTCAGACCACTTGATTAGTTGATTTGTGTCAGGATGTAATAAGAATTTTAACAAATATAACAAACACTTCTGAATTACATTACCTAGCCTAGCATTATATTGTACAATAATTTGAACTAGAAATCTACATTGGCTGACCTCTCTGATGTGTATCTTAATGCACACACTGACCTGGTAGCTGCCTTTTTGCTGTGGGACTCCATCTCCTGTTTTCGACAGAGCATCCCCTCCATAGTTTCTGGCTCAGACTCTGCTCCACCCCTGCTCGGTAACGTGGCAGAAGGATCAAGCCGAGAAGATGCCAACCCGCTGTCCCGACCTGGCCCGTTCACCGACTCAGACTCTGAGCCCTGTGGTTCAAACCAGAACATGAATGTTGGTGAGGAGGTAGAAAAACACATGGTGGGATGGACGCAGTGAGCAGCAAAGCAGCCATTCACAGCCATACATGAAAAGCCATGATGACGCTTGCTTTGACGGCACTGTATGATTACCTGAGATAACAGCATTGCGTAGGTTCAGAAGGTCCACATAGTCACCCAGTACACAGATATTAAACGGGACAATTACAGTCACTCGCATGGGTAAGGCACACAATTAAAATAACCATACACATGGGAAACATGCTTGCTGAACACTGCACTGAACAGGGATAGTTAAAATGTCTGATTCAGATTTAGTTTGAACAGAGGCGGATACCAATTTGCAATATAAATATTATTATTCTTCATCCGAGCCTCTTCAGTCTCAGTAATTTATTGAGCAACTGAATAATAATAACTACACTGTAACACATAAACAGACAAAAACATACGTGAACACAATTAATGTTCAACTCTTCTAAAGCCTTAAATCCTCCAAACGCAGCTTTTATGTACTAAATTAATCTTGAATAAGAAATCCATAGACAATAGGGTGCCTTTAAAATACTCAATGATGACAGTGGTAGCTGCTAAGGCATTTACCCCGCTCAATAAACGTTTTTTCTAAAAGCATTTAGATGACACCATCAAATGACTTCACCACAGGAAGTATACACATATAGGGAAAAGACTAAAACAAGCTACATATAAATTGGCTTTAGACAACTACAATTATCACCACATTTACAACACTAGGCCTCACATTTACAGTCACTCTTGTCCTGGTCAATATGAGCACATATACAACAACAGACGGATCCATGAAAACAATTATCTTCATGAATCTGCATCATGCCTTTAAACAGCAATGGGACTCATCAATGAAAAACCTTTGTTGCATGAATAAATAAAGCAATGGTTTGCATCTGTGACATAGAGCAATGGCTTCTCGACAGAAGAAAAAAAGGCACTGCAGTTGACCAGGAGCTGAGCGGAGGCTGTGACGGGGGCGAGGGGAAGCTACAAAGCTGACCGTGGCTTGGTACTCACACGCTCCGGCTGCTTTGGCTTACACACACGTTTAGGCTCTGATTTCTTTCCCAGTGACAACGATAGCGATAATGACTGCTGGTAAAAACCCAATAAAAAAATTGTTAAGTGGTCTTCGTCTGTGACAGAAACTTGAAAGTTAGTAAATGTGTTACACTTCCAGAACTTTTTTCAGACACATTGCCATTATGATTGGCTTCCAATAACCATCAATCAACCATAAAATCAGTGAGGCTCAATTAATGCAGACGCCCTTGTCTTGAGTGATTCTTCTCTAGAGTGTTTAGATCTAAACATACGTTTACTTCTGCTTTCCACAAGCAGCCAGTGTAGACTGCCGTTATCTCCTCTGAAACACAGGCAGTGTTCATTTTCATCTGCCAATGAGGACTTTCACTAGGCTCATGTAACATATGTAAAAGTTTACTGTATCCTACCCATTCCCCAACCCCCTCCTCACAGGAGTCCTGTTCCACTGAATCAGGACTCCTGAGGTGGTGAGTGAGTTGGTCCTCTGCAAACCTGCCCTGGTGGCACTAATTCTTTTCAGACAAAGTGCTTCCACACTACAAACAATACCTAACTGCAAAACGTTTCTGCCTTTCCATAATATAAAACTTTGCTGAGATATTTATTTCTCCAATACTTTGCTTGTGTGTGATCTACCTATATACATACTGGTAAAAAAAAAAAAAAAACATTTTTAAACTGGACAATAGCAATGAATGTCATTAGGCAAGGATATGTACCAAAACAACACTGCTGATTAAGGTAGAACAGACAGAGACAAGGACGCACACTCACATACAGTTACACTATGTATTATATATATTGTATTATATGACATAGTCACAGTTTGGACAGCAATGTAATATAGGTAAATCTTTGCTTGTGAACATCTTGTTACAACAACACAAATTACCAGTATTTGTTTTTTTCCAATTCTCTTTCTCAATCATTTTTTAAAACACAGATTGCATATTGAGAGTGAATATAATTCTAATAGATCCATGACATAATATAGGAGATGAGGCACGACAACATGGAAAAGACATTACAGGACATTACATGCTAGAGCCCTAAAAATGATATTAGAAACCTGTTTTAAAACATAAAACTCTTGCGCCACAGAGCAGAAACATTAATACATTTGAAGCATTTGGATCTATAAAACATGTCTCACCTGCGATGTGTCATTGTCGCTGTGTACTCCATTCACTGATACCGACTGATTGAGTGTGGTCTGGTCCAGACTGGTTCTGTGTTTGAGAGCAAGGAAAAGCATGTTAATAAAAATAAACATCTGTTGATATACATCAACAATTTTCTACCAGACTCCCACTTTGGTTTACCTGGCTGCAGAATCATGTGCATGGCTTTCTGTCTCAGACTGTGCCACTTCTTCTGCTGGGGGCGGTGTAGGGGGTCGCCGTGCTCTCTCCTCTTCCTCTCGCCTCCTCTGGATCTCCTGCTCCTCAAGCTGAAAAATGTGAACTCAGTAATGTTGTCTAAACTTAACAACTCGAGAGGGGAAATCAGTGCCTACAGTCATAGAAGAGTGGCAGACATCCTGTATCTACCAGATATCAATCCATTCTCAAATACTTGTGACATCATCTCTCTACTTACTGTAGTGAGTTTCTCCAGCAGCACAAAGCGGTCTTCCCAGGCTGCAGCAAGTTTCTCAAAGGCCTCATGGCGCTTAATTAGGCTCTCTACTTCATCCACATTTGCACCCAGCTCTGCTGCTCGCACCAGAGGTTCTTGCCCTGCCAACCAAGACTCTGCCACATAGGCATCACGTCCAAACTGCAACACTTCTAGCACTAAAATGCAGAGAAAAGGGGAGCAGAAGACAGAAAGACATATTCAAAAATACCGTATACACAGCATAAGGACACAATCAAATATGTGTAAGCACCATTGACAGTATACATAATGGACAGAGCTTCCAGACTTTAAAGTGAGGCCAATGCAGAAGTGTCTTAAAACCTGCATTCTATGTAAAGGCAGACAGGGGGAGCTCCAATAAAAAAAAAACAATACCATGCATGCTAATGGAGAAATGACCCAACTTCTTGCTTGATTAATTTGCTCAGTAAACAGTTTCCTAACGAGTTTATGGTCCCAATAACTTGTTTCAAGTCTTCTTCTATATAGTATGATGTTCATTTAGTAAATTACAGTCCAATTTAGAGTGAAATACACGGTAACGCAGAGTATGTTTTTGGGGCGTGGTTACATTATGATTAACAAGTCACTCTCAGTGAACGAAACTCAGTTCAAACTGTCAAACTAGGCAGTGCAGATCAAATAGCAATATTCTGTTACTGCGTTGCCTAATTTTTGGCTAAAATCTTTTCAGGAACATTTTGGAGTCATGTTTAGCTGTAATACGAGATTGTGTGTTACCAGGCGAGCCACCATCGTTTCCTGCTACAGACGCGTTGAAACTGTGCAGCCAATGCCTTAACTTAACATCCTTCAAAATGGACATACCATTTATATTTTATCTAATACCTTTAACCTGTAGCAACATGTCAAGACCAACATATCTCTTGTGTTGTGTTTCGTTTGAATGAGCCCTTATACAGACTCTAAAAGATGTTAAGCACACATACCAATTTGTAAATGGTCCATCTTGTCTTGCCACTTTTTGTTGATCTTGTCTCTCTTTTCCTGGAGCTGAACCAGTTTCTCTCGGATCTGTGATTCAAGGAACATTCAGTAACAAGAAGATTAAGTCATAACCCACAATAAGCCTTTAAGTATGTTCCCTTTTTACACAGAGCTGTTTCTTGTAAATATGCATTAATGTGACTGCAGATAACAGTGAAAGTGACCCATCGCACAGTACCTCATCAGCTGCATAGTGATTATTGTTGATGAGAGTGTTTCCCATCTCAATACAGGCAGTAAAGCTGTCTGCCCTGGTCTCAATCTCTGACTTGATGTCCTGATGATTGGCAATGACCAACCCAGCAGAAGATACATCCCTGGGATAACAGAAAGCATAGAGAGGTGAGATTTACTTATATAACTTGTATCGTTGGTTATAACAGAATTCATTATGGTAACTGGAAAAATTAAGCATAAAATGACATTCACCTGGGGCTGTCATGTGCATCAATCTGCAGGTTGACACCATCCATCCAGAGCATGAGGTCTCGCACCATGTTGAAGAAGCGGAACTTCTCCACGGTGTCCAGCAGGAGGAGCCTGCGTGCCTGACCAGCCTCGAGCAGGCCCTCCCAGGCAGTAGTGACAGCGTGTTCGCTCCTGTGAATATCATCAGCTTTCTCCCCAGCATAGGCCTTCTGCAGCCGCGCTGCGTCATCCTGCACCTGGTTCACCTAGGAGGTCAAAGAGGAAGACATTCAGTTTTCTATCTCTGTCTCTCGGAGTCTCACATGAGATCTCTTTATTAACAGATAGCTGACCTGTCCACTGAGGGCCTGGATGTCATTTTCAAAAGTATTGTGCTGTCTGTGTAGATGCTGAACAGTGTTCAGGTCACGGCCAAGGTCGGAGGGCAGCCCCTCCCTCTTCTCCTTCACACGTCCAAGCACCTCCATGGCATCCTGGTGGAATCGGTGCAACTCATAGGAGGCTGCCAACATTTGCGTGCGTGTGTCAATCAGCTCCAGCAAGTCAGCCCAGGCCTCGTTTAACCCGTCCTTCCACTCAGCCACGCTGGCATTCTCAGGATGACCTGACTCAATCAGGTCATCTGCCAGCCCATTTACACCATCTACACGCTCTTGGCCAATGTTGCTGGTGTCACGAGCAAACTCCCGGAACTTGTCCCTCAGCATCTGTAGACAGAAAAAAAGAAATCAGGGCAAAATTGGGAAACAATTATTTCAGCTAAATTTCCCTGAGCCTCAGTGTCTCCAAAGCATGTGACGGAAAAAAAAGAAAAACTCACCGTGACATGCTCATAGTCCTGTCCTAGTTCATGGGATCCAGCAACCACCTCCCTCTCAGCAATCCACTGTTCCAGATCATCCACCTCCCGCTTCAGCTGGGTCAGCCGCAGTCTCTCCTGAAGCCGCCCACGGCGCTCTTCAGCCAGGTCTTTCAACCCTGCATACAGCTTGTCAACTTGGGCTTGCCGTAAAGTGATTCTCTCACTGTTTACAGAAAAATAAGAACAAGACAGATCAGTGGTTGTGGATGTACAACTTTTTCATAACAAAGGCACGTGTGACACTTGACATTCAACATTGAGATCTTTTTTGTGCACTCTCACCTCTCTGGGTGTTCACTGGTGACCATGAGGCGACTGCTGTTAGCAAGCTGGTGAATGGTTTGGGCGTAATCTTCAAGTGCCTGTTCCAGAGTCTGGTGCTTTTTGACCATTACAAGTGCGCTTTGCTCATCCTAGGAGACAAAAAAGAAATTTTAAAGTTTCCTAAAGATATAAGATGTGAAAGAGTGGTACTAAGAGTAATTGCTCTTCCTTATTTTGTCCCTTCTTACCTTGGCTTTTTCCTCTGACATCATGTGCAGCTCTTGCTCTCCCATCCAGGCTTCTGCCTCTGCTGCATCAGCATAGAACTGCTGGGCGCGATTTGCCTCTATTAGACGGTCATGGCGCTTGTCTGTCTCTGCAATCAGCTGGTCCCAGAGGTCCCGCAGCTCAACAAGGCGCCCCTCTAGGACAGACTGTCTCTCACCATCTACCTGACTCTGGGTCTGGCCTCGTCTATGAATGTCATCGATGCGAGGCTGGTGGCCCTGGATCTCCTTCTGCAATGTCTGATTCAGAAACAGAGAAGATGGTTTGGCAATTTGCACCTCACATTTGCCTTTGGACTATACAATGAAGGTGTTTATTTTATTTAATGAGTGTAATTCACCTTTATCTTCCTTTTTAATTGCCCTGCATTACAACATTTTAAGTACTAGTAATTCATCATTTTACCATTGCATGTAAAAAAAAAACAAAAAAACAAAAACGTTTTAATCACTGTACCTGGTTCTTCTTGATTAGCAGTTGTACGGTGGGCAGGTCTTTTCCATGGTCTGTGGAGCTCGCCAGGGGCATTCTCTCTTTCACCCACAGCTGAGAGAGAAACACAAGAATGAATAAAACATGAGTATTAGGCAAACAGGATAAAATAGAAACACTCAGTTACTTCACACTTTAGGTAATCCAACTCACAATTTCATCCTCCAGATCTCTGTTGAACTGGTGTGCTTCTTTGGAGGCAAGTAGTTGCTGCCTCCTCAGTTCGAGAGGCTCCTGAAGGTCGGAGAAGTTGTCAGTGACACGCCTTTGCTGACCATCTACCTCAGCGAGTCCAGCATCCTCCTGGGACAGGGCTAGAGCCTGAGACTGGAGGGACTGCACCTCCTTCTCTCTGACCTCCATCTGGTGCTCCAGCATCTATATAGAGAAAATAAAAACATGTAAGACACAAAAACATGACATCTGGCAATTTCCACTACTATCTACAAACAGATTTGGCCTGTTCCACCACATGCACCACATTAAATCTGTCATTACTTCATTACTGTAATTAACATTTAAAATTAATCTTCTTTATACATGTTGTTTTGTACATCATATCAAAGCTATGTAATACAACATGTAACATATTTCTTGACAGCAAGACTGTGCTTTGCTTGCACAGGGTGGTGTACCTGGTGCTTCTTGAGCAGGATGTTGACACTGGTCAAATCTTTGCCATAGTCGTCGCTATGCAGCTGACTCTCAAGGTTTTTCAGCCAAACTTCCAGAGCGGAGCAGCTCTGTGTAAAGAGTTCTGCCCGGTTAGCATCAAACAAGCACTGTGCCTTGGTGCGGGTTGTGCCCTCCAGCTCCTCCCACTGACGCTGTAGGTCTTCAAGGGTCTGCTGAACAACAGGTTTCAACTCTGGCTTCTCTGCCACCAGCGCTTGACCCTCCTTTTGGAGACAGAAAACAAGGACAAGGTTTAATTTACATTAATTTAGCTGTTTCAATGATCACAGTCAGTGTAGGCAGATTGTCCCCAAAATTCAGAAATTAAATGCCATTAACCTTGTTGATCAGCCTACCCTTTAACAATCCCATCAACAGGCAGATGAATGGGTGTCCAAGTACTGTTTTATCAGATTAAATTTGGGGAAAGAAAATTCTTAAGTATGTGTTTACTAACTAATGACAACAATTAATGTAAAATTGGCAATACCTTATCAATTTTGTCCAGCCAGTCTTTGTTGGAGGCCAGTTCTGCCATGAAGGCCTGATGTTTCTGCCACTTGCTGTGAAGATTTCTGGCCTCATCATAAGACATGTCCTGTGCTGTCAGCATCTTCTCATTGATCCACAACGTGAGCTACAGAAAAGAGAATACATTTTTTTCTTGTATCTTATGATTAAAGAAGCCATTTCTATTCACAATACTCACATATTTACCCATTAAGCATCATTACTTATTTATTCATTATGCTATTATTTGATTTGTTTTTTAAATTGATTTTACCTCCTGTCCGTCTTGGAGGAAGTGCTGAAGTTCACGGTTATCCTTAAGCTTTGCCAGCAATTCATTTGCAGCCTCTTTATTCTTAAGATGCCTGGAGAAAACAAAGGAGAAAGCTAAATGAGCCCCTTAGACATCAATTTAAAAAGAAAAACTTATATTAATAAGGTTTTTTTCCCCCCTTCTTTTACTTTTGTTCTAACCTTTCTTGGATGGAATCAACTTTTTCCTGGATCTTATCAGAGTTTGCATTACAGTCATTAATGAGGCGCCGTCCAGCCTCCACCACACCATTTATCTTCTCCTCACTGGCCTCTGTGGTGGTGAGGAAATCTTCATGCTTCTTAATGGCCTCCTCTGCTCCCTGAAGACTGGTTGGCATCTCTGTGTGGGACAGCACGTACTCCTACACAGAGAGGAAAGGAATGTAAAGTTTTCTAACATTTTGTATATTCAATTATCAAATTCCAAAGATTTTTCTTTATTTTTTTGCAGCCTGTTAGTTTACTTTAACTGAGATTAAAACAATTAAAACAAATATGAATATTGGATATACTGACGAATTTAAACTAGAAGAAGCTAGAAATATAATATCTTGTTTTATTCAACAATTAACATTCCTTTGCTGTAGCTGTCTTTGAATCCCTTGGCCTACAACATACAGATCTAGACCTATGGCCCACAGTGCAGCTTACTTCTTCTTGCTCTGATTTGAGAGCTAGTGAAAACGCAAACAGATCACAAACAGCCAAAACCATAATAAAAACTTATAAAAGGGTAAACATATTTCTGATTACAATAAAAACATACTTGTGTTGCACAATATCATTGTAGGATCAGTGTTAAAGTTCAAAGACAAATGTAAGCTTGGACACTAATAAAAAATGTGATCAAATATTTAATTCATTTGATATATTAATTTCAATTAGTTGAGATTTTATATATGATGATTTTGCAATGTAATCAAACCCATTTTAGTCATGCATAGAACAATGGGAGGGGCAAGAGGGCAGAAGATCTGGTGAGAAATCTGAATGAGCTTTAGATCGCATTGCTCTGCTTAAAGGTCCAGTGTGGACCTCCCCCCTCTGCATATGTAGACATAAGGCTTATTCTAAGGTAACAAAATGAATAATAATAATAATTCCTATATTCAGGTGATTATGCATTAATGAAAACATACCTATGAATATCATATTAAATGTCTGCCAATAGATCTTCCTAAATGTGACACACTGCTGGACTGTGTGGACTGTTGATACATGATTTTTGTTTCAGTGAGGCCATAGCTTTCGCCATGGCTTCAATTCCATAGTGTATTTTTCTAACCTGGCTGTTGAGGAAAGCCTCTGCCTGCTGTGCATCTCTCAAGAAAGTCTGGAAGTCGAAGGCTTGGGCCAAAAGACTGTGGCGGTTCTCCCACATGCGACGCAACTCATGCCAGCCGGTGTCCAGTGCCTGGAGCCTCTGGGCCAAGAACATGTACTGAGCATCTGTCTGACCTTGCGTCACCTCCTCACCGACTGCCCGCATCTTCTCATAGTCCTCCTTATAGTTATCCACCTCATTCTTTATGCTCTCGTGCTGGGCTAGCAAACTCTCAGCCTCAGGCAGAGAGGTCGGAATGTCCTCTGAGGCCACGGCTGTCTGGGTGCGGGACAGCCAGGACTGGAAATCATCCAGATCCCTAAGAAAGCCCTGCAGCTTGCTGGCTTCACCCAATGACTCCTCACGCCGCTTCATGGTGGCGTTTAACTCCTCCCACACCTCTTGAATCTCTGCCAGGCGTCCTTGGATCTCTCCAGCCTGATCTGGATGTTCCTGGGCCAGCTTTTCTGCCTCATTTCTCAGGTCATCCAATTTGCCCTGAAAGGACATGAAAAATTATTTAAACGCAGAAGTGATGACAAGATACCTCAACATGAAGCCCACAATAAGCCTGCTATTAATTTGCTATTATTTATTGCACAAGTCTGTTCTGTTCCCATCCCTCACCAATATCTCACTGCATGTAACCTCTGCATACCTGAATGGCCTCCAGGTCCCTCTCCATGCCAGTTAGTTTGCGTTGCAGTGCCATCACTCCAGCCAGGTCATTGCCCAGACTCTGAGTGGATTCAATCACTTTCGTCTTTTCCTTCATCCAACTTTGGATCTCATTGCACTCCAAGTGGTAGTTCTGGATGTTAAGGGCCGACTCTAGGCCTAGCTTCTTTTGACCAGCCAGTTGTTCAAACTCCTTCCATCTAGAGACCACACCAAATGTAACATTTAGGCAAAAAATGCAGTGCTCATTGAGAGCTTATATATTTCTGTGTATTGTGGTGGATTTTAGTAGGCCTTATATGTTAGCTCTGACCTGTTGTTCAGTTGGTCTCGTGTCTGGTGGATTTGGTCTTTGTTACAGTTGTCAGAGCTAAGCAGCTGCTCGGCCACCTGGTTCACATCAGTGACACGAGTGCCTAGGTTGTTCATCTCAGGTTCCAGTGTTTCAAATCTGCAGCCATAAATAATAGACCAACATTAATTAACTTATTCAGACAAGTCTGGACAATAAAACTATTTGCACAAGAAAACAGTAACATTTTGTATACTTTTAAAAAGATTATTATTACACAAAATTATGTCTTGATGATTGTTACATTTTAGTCTCAGCTTTGATGTCTCAAACCTGAATGGGTTTTGAAGGATATAAATTCAGCCATCACCATGTTTTTTATTAATTAAATCTTCTGTATTAACATCAGATTTACCTCTGCTGCACAACCTCTAAGTCCTCCAGTTTGGTAGGGATCTCCATGCCATGTAACCACTGCTCCTTTTCCTCCACCCAGAGCTGGCAAGCACCAGCTTCACTAAACATGCGGTAGAGGGCCAGGGCACCCTCCAGAGCCTGGCGCCGAGCTGCTGACAGAGACTCCAGTTCTTCATAGCGTTGCTCAATAGCAGGTAGGCGACCGTCCACCTACAGTCAGCAATAAACAATAATTTAGTACTACAATCAACATGTCATCATTAAAGTATGAAGAAGTAATAATATATATAATAAAGTATATAATACAATAAGAAGTATGAAAAACAAAGCACACGCACCTCAGGGAAATGTACATAGGCCTGTGGCAGTGCTTGAACCTGCTCATGCAGGGAGTCGATGAGGGGGTGGTGGCTCTGGATCTCCTCTTCTATCTCCCTCTGCTTGCGAGCTAGAGTTTGGGTGGAGAATTCATCATGGCCTACCTCCTGACTGGACACCTGTCTAAGTGTCTCCATGATCCATGCCTCCATGTCATTGGCATCTGTTTGAAATTGGTGCAGGGCGACTGCTTCCTTAAGACTCTGCTCTCTAAGCTTAGTTGTCTGGGGAGCAGGAAGAACAATAATAAAAAATAAAATCAATATTTGTAAAAGAAAATGCTTTATACTGCATAAATACAAATACTGAGAATTGTGATCACCACCCACCTCTTCCAGATGTGCCCACTGTGCACGGATGTCTTCAATCCTCTCCGTAACCTCTGGGGCTCCAAAGTGACCCTCCTTAATCAAAGTTTCTCCGGCCGCAATGCTGTTGCTCAGGGGGCCATAGCGGGCTGCCATTTCATCCCTGAAAGCCTCATGTTTGCTGAGAAGGTGAAGGGCAGAAGTTAGGTCACGGCCACAGTCTCCACTTGCCAGGATCTGCTCCTGCTCTCTAATCCAGGCTGCCTCCTCGCCGAGATCCCACAGGAACTGCCACAGGCGGCGCGAGTCCTCTAGGCGCTCTCTGCGTTTCCCAGCGAGCTGCCCAAGCTCCTCGTAGGCTTGGCCCAGCAGGTCAACCTTCTCACTAACTAGTCCCGGCTCGCACGGTTTGTATGCTGGTAGAAAAAGTAAGAATACATGGCACTTAGATAAAAAATAAATGAAAATAAAAATAAAAATAAGAATAGGTCAGACTAAAGCGTCATGGTGGTCTGTACAGAGAATATGTTTGAAGACTCACCCTGTTCATAGGAAGTGAAGCGTTGTGCTGCTCCCTGCACTGCCTTGATCCTCTCTGCCTGAGCTGAAGTGTCAGCCTCTACCAGAGTGTGTTTCTGCAGTAGGTCCAATACATCATGCAAATGTTTGCCACTGTCCGGAGACTGCAGACGACCCTGAAACAAACAGACAGCACAGTCCAGTAGAATATTTGGTTATTCCCCCCCTCAGCTTCAGACCACTACCGTGAACACATGGGGAGCCAGAGCCTTACTCAAATACCAGCAGAGAAAATTCTTCTAATCTGAGTCACTAGAGCAGAAGGCCATTAAATGACAACAGGACATTATCACAGATAGTAAAGTGTATACAAGCATTCTCATTATAAAGTAATGGGTGACTAAATTATTGAGACATTAACAGCGTGATTTCAGTTACCACCAAAAATTACAGACAAAATGGATTAATGTTCTAATCAACTTCACCCCAGACAAACAAATGCAGATATATATATATATATATATATCTAACCCAGCCTTCCCCTTCAAATTAAACACCTGCTTATACTCTTTCTCAATAGAGAAATATGAAGAAAACCTCAAACACTAACTTTGGAATGGGTCAAAGCTCAAAGGCAGCAAATAGTGCTATATTTGTTTAAAGGTGGTGGGTGGCTGATGAGGCCACGCCCTTCGAGTAGTACTGTGCAGTGTTAACATTAGATCTGAGGCAGCAGAGAGAGGCATACATGCTACTTTGTACACAGGCAGTCAATTGACAGATGTTTAAAGCAATTAATGGTTAATACCAAAATTAAAGGAGAAAGAAACTGTATATTTAAGGTACCTATACAGTGAGTTCACTAGCCCAACATGAAAAGAAATTAAATATATAACTGCAAAGACATAATATGACAGCTGGTAACCTTACATACCCATTAGAGGTCTAGCACTGTAATTTCTAATAACATGGGCACCATGGAAATTGAGTACACACAATGATGCTGCATACTGTATGTTTAACCATTTGAACCAGTCATTACCTGGGTAACAGGCTACTTTAATAGCAGCTAAAATGTAAAATACTGTGTCCACTGCCAACAGGCAATTGCATTTGGCAATACCAGAGTTTTCAGACTTGCAGAATTAAATTAATTCAAATCACAGCATGTGGAAATAGTAGAGTTATCAGATTTAACCATGTAAGGAGAAAAGCACATGCTCCCAGTGACTGTAATCTACCTCAGCCAACTTCAATAAAGTCAGCAATGACAGGCAACACAGCTCAGGCAAGGGCTGTAAAAAGCTAATTACTGCTGTTAATGGACCTCTGATAAGTACAGACACTAAAGCTGCCGAGGACATATGTGAACAACAACTAACTTAATTGAGAGGATTAGGAAATTCCTTTTTGTTGATTAAAAACAAAGCCAACAGAATGCTGGAATGCAAAGCACTATCTCAAAACAAGTTAAAACAATGTGATCACTGTTAAAGTAGTATAAGCATGCATTGTATTGGGTGGGTCAGTACCTTCATGTCTGCCATCCAGTCCATAATGTAGCGCATCTCCTGAAACAGTCTCTGCAGGTCACGATGGGCATTCAGCCGCTCTCTGCGTGCAGCCAGGAGCTCTTTCAGGTATTCCCAGAGTCGAAGCACATTATCTCTTCGCGCAATTATACGCCGCACATCATGGTATCCCTCTGCTTCCAGCTCTTTGGCAACAGCCTCCACAGCAGCCACACGCTCCCAATATGCCCCAATGTCTGTCTCAATGGCCTCGTGTTTACGGGTGGCAGCTTCCACTGCTCCCAAGTCAGTTCCGAAGTTGTCCTAACAACAGGGGAAAATTAGCTTATCACGTAAAAATACGTATTCAATGAAGTATTCAAATTCAATAATACATCTGTAGCCACACATTTGTCTGTGTTTCATTAAATCCACTACTAAATCCATAAGTACCTGAGACACCAGCCTCTGGTTCTCACTCAGCCATGTCTCCCGCATAGCAGCTTTGCGGTCAAAACGTGCAGCGAGCATCTCCAGCTTCTCCTGGCGAATCAACTCATTTCTCAGTGCCAGCTCTCGTTCGTGCTCTGCCTTCTCCAATCGCTCCCATGCCTGTCGAACCAATGAAAAAACAGGAAGTTGGTAACATCCTGCAACTAGGATACCAAAAGGGCATACATGATGAGGCCAATCAACTTATGATAATATAGTCTAAAAAAACAGTGAACATAAACAATTTCCCCAAAAGTATGCAACAAGTACTTATTTAACCTATTGATCACATCACATTATGAAATGTGGCTTTCACATTTTTAGATGGAAAACAATTTCTAGCCCTTTCTAGAGCAACCCATACCTTATTGATGTCAGAGATGAGTTTGCCCTCCCTTGGCATGTAGACTTTTTGATTGTTTGCTCTCATCTTGCTCTGGATAGTAAAGAGGAGAACCTCCAAGTTTCCTTTCTCTGTAAATCTGTGGAGACAGACATCACCTCTGTTTAACACACTGTATAGCTTCACACTTTGGATCCTAATGGATAGAAAGCATTGGGTCATTGACTGGGTTATATTAACCCAGGTTTCTGTTACTCACTTGGGGGGTTTCTCCACAGTTCGGTAGGAGTTGAAAGCCTGGAGCTGGTTCTGTACAGCACTCAGTGAGTTAGCTAGCTGGCGGTCATTGAGCGTCACTATAGTCTGCTCGATCCACTGCAGCAGCTCTGAGGCCAGGGTCTCATACTTCTCTATCAGCTGATCTGCCTCAATAGCATAGTCCAGCACCTGCAACCGAGACAGATCTGTGAATCAAAGTAATTGGTGGGCAAACTCTTGATGTATATGTACTTAATGTTTTAATCAGACATTAGTGTCCACACACACACACACAC